CCCTGCAGGAATTTTTAGAAACACTTATAAATAAATTTAAGCAAAAGTATTTAAAGTGGTTCAAGTAGATTGAACTATGAAGCCATTTCGAATGGCCTATACTGATGATTCTAATTTAAGAAATGAATCAAGCAAGCAATGATACTTTTAATGCTTGTCATTTGTCACGTGACAATTGTTAGATACAATGGTTACTTTAATTTTCTAACAGTTATTTTTAATTTTTAAACCTTTTCCTTTAAATTCTTGTTTCCCACTGACAACTCTCTACCAAAATGAGCTTTTAGTATCGCATTGCATGTAAATGAGGTCGAAAGAGTATATAAAGGAAGTTTTGTTCACTTCCAGCACAGAAGTTTAGGAGTCCTTAGCGGCGCGTGTTTGCAGTGAGGCTACTGAATTGTTAAGTTCACTACGCTTGTCCGTATTGTATATGCCTGCTGATAGTCGCAGGCTAATTAGATTAAGGAGCAACTACGTTAGGTAACTGCGTATAGCTTCGGCTAAGTCAATTTTAGTTAGTATTAAATTAGTTTCTTATACATACGTATAAGCCGTCACTAAAAAAATCTCTTTTTAATCCATTTTGAGAAAAAGTCCTTTATTCTGTCCGTACGTACATATACCACGGAAAAATATCGTTTATATGAATTCGAGAGTGGTTGAAAGGAATATTTTCATTAAAATAGGATACCCGAAATTTTTTCCGATTACAAAACTTCCTTTGTCAGGTCTTGTGTTTCTCTTGATTTGCTTTGGAAACATGAATGATCCTGAATAGGAACAGGGAGCTTACTCAAGCTATGTCCAAGAAGGTGTGAAGTAGACAACACAAGCAGGAAGGGTATACGAAACCCTTTATTTTCAATCTTTTACAGGCGCTTCCGAACTTCCGAATACAGAGACCAACCACTTGTGGTTTGAACGTAAGAATATAAAAAACTACTAACTAAAAGCTAACTTTGAATTAGTATACAAATGCCTAGCAGTAAGACTGGCCTTTATTTAAAAAAGGTACGTATGTAGTACGCCGAGCTGCTTAAACTACAATACGTCTGCAAATATCAAGATAGCTAAACCTCTGGCCTTAAAGGCAACCAGCAACCGAGTGAAAACTACAGTGGCAAGCGGCTTGCTTCCTAAAACTCCTTCTCTCTTTCGCTTGGCAAAAAGCCACAACTTAAGTACTTGGGCGTTAGCAAGACAATTTGCATAAACAAGTTAAAGCATTTGATTCTGGCCGGAAGTAGAAAATAAGAAGTGATTGTATACAGTTTTAAAATAAAATAAACGTTAGTAAAACTTAGGATCCTTACACCTTTATTTCGTATAAGGAAGTAAAAATAATTTCATTTTGCTATTTACGAAGAGTCTATAAAGACGCTGGTGGGACACGTAGGTGAACACTCCTGACCGTAAGGTTACCATGAGCATTACCACTGCTAGACGTCTGAGGATATCTTACTGGTGCAGTTCAGTACTTCGACAACTCACAGTCTGATTCCAGTTAAGATTGGCTTTAGCCATCCTTCACTGGGTTCATCTTTTCACTACGGCCTGGTGGTTATTTACCATCCAATTGTAAACAATGCTCATCATACTCACCATACTGTGCGCATTGTTTACAATTCACGTATTATATCCATTTTGCATTAGATGTGACATTCATAGTCTTTTTCTGAAAATAAGACATCCTCCGAAAATAAGCCCTATCGTGATTTTCGGAACTTTTTGTAAAATAAGACATCCTACGAAAATAAGCCCTATCGTGATTTTCGGAACTTTTTGTAAAATAAGACATCCTCCGAAAATAAGCCCTATTGTGATTTTCGAAACTTTTTGTAAAATAAGACATCCTCCGAAAATATGCCCTATCGTGATTTTCGGAACTTTTTGTAAAACAAGACATCCCCCGTAAATAATCCCTAGTTAAAATAATGTGACAAAAAGAATTCGTTAAAGAAAGTTGGTTGATTTTATGCTGCCACCACTGTTGAGGGGTCAGAATAGAGGTTTACTAGTTTGGGATTCAGCCAGTACTCACCGCGCTAAAGAGATGGAAAAACTTTCTTGCTGAGAGGAAGATTGATCAAATAATGATTCCGGCAGGAATGACTGGTTACCTCCAGACACTTGACATTGCAATAAACAAGCCATTCATGGATGGAAATCAATGAAAATATTGAAAACAGAATGGTGAGAAATCATCGAGGTAATTTTGTAAAACCAGGCTTACAAGAAGTTGTGAATTGGGTAAAAAATTCATGGGACAAAATAACTGATAGTGATGTTTCCAGTGCACTACGAACAGGCTACTTAGACAAGAAGTATTCATTTAACGATAGCTATATCGCAAGACATGAGAGATTCGGACCAATGATTCAACAGGAAAAGGATTTGGAAGAAAATCAGAATATAATTCAGAATTTTATGTATGGCGATGTTTCCAGAAGAAGATGACATGACTGTAATTGAATAAATTTAAATTTCTGTATTCTGTGTAAAATAAATATTAAATAAAAATATATAAATATACTTTTATTTTTGCCCTCCCCGAAAATAAGCCCTAGAGCGTATTTTAGACCAAAACAGAAAGTAAGACAGTGTCTTATATTCGGAAAAAGACGGTATGTAGAATTCCTTTCTGTTCATCAACTATGAGAAATGCGTACTTCCAGATGGCGTGGCTTGTAGTTTCACTCAGTTCACTTATTATATCCATTTTGCATTAGATGGTATCAACTCACTTAGCTTCCATTTGTGTAATTGTTTAACTTTTCCGTTTTTCCGTTGACCCACTGATCAACGGAAAACCATAGTATAATGTGTTCCAAGTTTGTTCTCGATCAAACGGATGCTTCGTTACACAGAGAGTTTTTGCGGTATTCTGCAGAAGACCATTTGAATGCGTCGGTGGTCAAGGGGCTTCTTAGTACCAATGGTGTATCACCAGCACGTACTTTCATGTACTCCCAGGACATGGTGCAGTCGTTACCCATACGAGTGCCAAATGCGATGCTGCGTATTTCGCATATATTCTCAATTTACGTTTATAAAGGAAAACCTCTTGCAGTTTGTAATCCCGGATGGCGTGTTTACATAGCATCAGGATTGGGATCAACTTATATTGGGATATATGTATCTACCTTTTACAGCCTACATATGATGTAGACAAATCAAAAGCCACCGTATCTGTTCCAGTCTTGTTTGCGGTCAAACAGATACTTTGCCGTGCACCAGCGTCGACGATATTCTTCAGATCATATAAGACTACTGTCAGTTGGAGATCAAGGGACTCATCTGTGCCCATGGTCTATCGTCAGTAAGAAATTTCAAATTCATCGGAGTATGGTATATACATCAACCTCACGTGTACCAAATGCGATGCTGATGTTTTATGTCATATACTTTGCATAAATTCATAGTTTATACATACACTCACGTTTGTGAAAATTGCAACACCATGAAGGACTTACGCGAGTGAGCTGAAATTTTCAGGAAATGCAAAGTAGCGCATGATATGCAAATGATTAGAATTGCAAATCCGTAGCGCATGCGTATGCTGAGCAGCGCCCTCTGAACGGCTGATGGATCCGAATAAATAGACGGCTGTAGCGAGGCGTGTATGGTTATCGGTGGTTATCTGCTAGTGTTAAACGTTAACTCAATCTGTACTTATGCCTCGTCGACGAAAGAGAGCGAGATTTGAACAACTTACAGAGTTTGAACGAGGGAGAATCATCGGCCTTCGTGAAGCTGGATTGTCGTATCGTGCAGTAGCCTCTCGTGTGCAGCGTAACAGCAGCACAGTGATGCGCGTTTGGAAGCAGTGGACGGACGAGTGTCGGACAACTCGGAAATCCGGGAGTGGAGCCCGAAATGTGACGTCAGCTCGCGATGATAGACACCTGGTCCGCATGGCGCGGACGGACCGTACAGCTTCCTCTAGACAATTGGCAGCACTGTGGTCAATAGCTACAGGTGTTTCATTGTGTGCTTCATCAATTCGTAGACGTCTGCTGCAGTGTGGACTGCGCGCACGGACTCCTTTATACAGGATCCCCCTAACGCACGACCATCGCCGCCTGCGGCTACAATGGGCCAATCAGCATAGAGACTGGCGTGCTGATTGGCAGCATGTCGTGTTTTCTGACGAATCCCGCTTTAATTTGTGGTACCATGATGGCCGCATTCGTGTCAGACGCTATGCCGGTGAACGGCACCTTCCGGAGTGCATTATCGAACGCCACAGTGGACGAACACCCGGAGTTATGGTCTGGGGCGCCATAGCATATCATAGACGATCTCAATTGCTACGAATTGTGGGCAATCTGAACAGCAACCGGTATATCCGTGAAGTTCTACAGCCCGAAGCTGTTCCCTTCCTTCAAAGCTTGCCAGGCGCTGTATTTCAACAGGACAATGCCCGCCCTCATACTGCTCGGATTGTTAAATCCTTCTTTTGCAGCGCAGCAGGTACAGCTTCTTCCTTGGCCTGCGTGTTCCCCGGATATGTCGCCAATTGAACATGTGTGGGATGTCATTGGTCGGCGTCTTGCTCGTGATCCTCGTCCTGTTGCGTCTGCAGACGAACTTTGGGTACGCGTACAAACGATATGGAATGCTCTTCCTCAGTCAGACATTCAAACTTTGTTTGACTCCATGCCACGTCGTGTAGCAGCACTTATTGCGGCGCGTGGTGGCCACACAAAATACTGATTCTGATCTCTTGTTCTTGTTTGTTTGCTTTGAACATTTAATCATTTATTTGTACCACTACCACTCAACTGTGTATTAAATTGCATTCAATTATGACGATTCCTTCTTGGTGTTGCAATTTTCACAAACGTGAGTGTATAAACGAAATCTTCCATTTCTATGGTCTACACAGATTCTTTGATGAGGTTCTGTTCAATAACATGACATCTATTGATGGAATTGGTGATGCAGTTGTAACGACATTAGGTTATTTCGAAGCAGAAAACATGAAAAATGAGCAATGCTCTCACAGGGTCTCGAACCCCGGACCTCTCGAATATGCATCGAGCGTGCTGACCGTTACACCACGAAGGCATGCTAAGAAGGCGGGAGAGATACCTTATGTAGTTTATTCTACGGACATAATCGCACATGTGACGTAGCACGCGCGAATTCAGAGGACCAGTGCTTATGGTCCAAAGGATGAACTTCTGCAATACCTACCATTGGACATTTCAATTTCACCAGTCTTGTCCAATTGTAACAATATCAAGAGAACATTTCATGTCCATTCTTCGTCATTTCGAAGTTATAGAGATATTTCTAGCCTCGAAAAGGTTCCCACAGAAAGAGGGAACAATTAATATTTTAATTAAACAAAGAATTAGAATAAAGAAATACGAGAGCATAATTGAGAGCTACTCTAGTAAGTGAACACAGCATTTTTAATGCGATGGCTAATGCTAGGTACTTTGCCTTCATTTAATACCATCATTCATTGGTGTTTCTATTGTCAAAAAGATTCTGTCGATTCGCCGTATGTTTAGATGGACAGTTTTTCTTTATCTCATTTATAGATTCCTGAATTCATTCCTGAAAGAGAATTAAAAGGCCAATATTACAAATAAATCTAACCCAAAATCGTAATCCGAAAAGACCCATTTGCCAGCATTGCATGGTTGATATAATATCATAAAAATACCATTTCATTTACATGCCACTTATCTTAATGACAATATACTTGTCTGTGCAATAAAGACCAGCGATAAATATTATAAGCATAAAATGAAAGAAGATATTTTATAAAATGAACAAAGATGGCAAGCTATAGGCTTGATCTGATTATAATATATTGATTATAATTGATCATTATACATTGATCTGCTGATGCGATTCAGTGAGTGACGAATATATGTAAGACAAAAGTGTTCCATAGAATGGTGATAGTGAATAATCGTTAAGAAGGATCCTGAATTAACTACGTCTATAATGTTACAACAATATCTCAAATATCATAATTTAGAAATATTGTAATATTTTTCGACATCCTAATATTTGCATTCAAATTTACATTCACTACATTGGAGCAATTTATGAATAAGTTTAAAGACGAATAAAATATTAGAAGCTGTCTCCTAAAATTTTACCACTCCTAAATTTCACTAGGAGAAGAGAATGTTACAATTCAGTTTTAAAATATGAAAATGATTACATGCCGCTCAACCAGGAGAGTGGTTAGTGACCGCTGACTGCTGTACCAAAGGAAATGGGTTCGAATCCCAGTATTTGTAAATTTATAGTGTCTGTGCGTCATGGGGGCACTCAAGCACGCAAATATGCCGAGATCCAAAAGTCCTCTGGGGAGGTTGGGGGTAAGGAAAGAGGGGTCGGAGACCCTTGGACGCGTCCCCCCGTCTATCACAATGGGGGGGGTTAACTGAATAAAGTCGTACTGTCACTGTACGGTACTCTTGCATACGCAAATGCAATCTGACACTTCTTGCTTGTCACGTACTTGACAGACGCAATCTGACACTTCTTGCCATGATGAATTTCGTGAGCTTGTTCCGATGTTACTTCAGGTGAGATAGGTCATAACAATAACAAATAATTATACAAACTGATATCTACATTTTCAGTTGCAAAACTTCCAGATATATTTATGAAATCGTTAGACTACTTATATATTTATAACTGAATGAAATAACTGATCAAAGACACTCACGTTATGCATATCCAAATTTTTAACATATTGACCTGCTATAATACATTTAGAGGTATAATCTACGCTACTTTTTTTCTTCCCTCGTTTTACAGTAGAACATTCAACTACATTCAGCCCTTAGTTCGATAGCTTACAACACTATCCTGCATAGTAATAGCATCCGGAGTTTCGAAATACTTACATACGCAGTTTACGAGCATTTTGATGAGTCGTTAGGTCGTAAAATTTATTTTTATTGCTTTCCGATGTCTTGAAAACGGTCTTCTAGTTATTCGCGCTGGCTGGTAAGTGATTATCACTTTGGTTATTGTAAGAAAAACTGCCGGAAATAAAATGAACTAACACATATTTTCTTTGAATTGCAATTTATTACACATTATAATACAATACAAAGCGAAAGCTTTGAATCCATTTCACCATTAGAATGCATTAGACCTTTTCACCTGTTCTATCACATTTAAAGCTGAGCTTCATAAAGTAACAAGTAATAAAAGAAAAAGTATAAAGAGTCTAGTTTAATAACTGGTATTAAAAGATCTTAAATAATGCAGTTTTAGGCCATTAGACTTGCATACAATAACATTTATTCCATTTCTTAAGTGCATTTATATATACGCGCATACACGCATGTGAATTCATACTTTTTGGATTAAAAGTGCGTTTCTTGGGTATGTTTGAAATCAGCTCAATAAAAGTAAGCTGATTTAAAACAGAATTCGGTATTCTGCAGAACAAGGCTCGAAGTGCTTGTACATGTAATGAATAAAGTGCTATTTCTATTGTTTCGGAAATTATTATGGCTTAAAATTCTTGCTAATTTTTTGTGCATTAAAATGGGTTAAATAAAAACAGCGGGCTACTTTGAGGTATTTGATTATAGCAAAGCACGCGAGAGCGATCTGCCTAAAAGAAGAGATGCCTTCATGCATATAAACAACGATAATGAACAAAAACAATCATAAAAATCAAGCATCGTTTGACATCAGCTATAAATTAAATCCAAAATATGGTAGAAGGTTGTGTTAGGTGCAACACCTTTGTGCTGAAGCATTTTATAAAGTTTGACTCTTTAGTTAAACCCATAAAGGTATATTTATATACAGTTTAAAAACCTTCAGAGGTAAAGGTTAAAAAACAACTGAGGAAATGGGTTTAAAACCACTTGCCAGTTGAGCACATATATATATTTCCTTTTTTTATGTGTTTCAAAAACTTTTGTGTACCACACGCCTTTTATGCAACTTCACCAGATTTAGCAAAAATAATAATTTCTCTAGTTTACATTCTGTTCTACTCTCAGTTATTCTGCCACACATTTAGAGATCAGTTGTTTGATCTTACTGATCGGTTATCTGCTGTCAGGTGTTTCTGCATCAAATGAAGCTATCTATTACATCAGCAGAGGTCAATTGCTTTTAATCCTTTGAGATATTTCTTTCTAACAGCATAGCTAACCCATTCTCCTCAATCTTCATACATGCAGGTTAAAGCAATTGTGAGATCATACATGGAATGCAGATAGGAAAGTGAAGACCTTGCCCTCCAACCGCCGACCCGACACATTTCCCCGGCACAGAATTAAATGTGTTACCTGAAGCAAAATCTAGGATGAATATAAAATCACTAAAATTTCTATTTTAGATCAAAATGTATTTTATCACAACAGGAATTTAAATCTACCCTAGTGTAAAAAAGGGTCTACAGAGTTCACTATAAATATTATAATTAAAAAATGCCTTTTAAATGTTTCTATTTTGTTAGTAACATTTAAGTGGGTATTTTGAAAACTCCATTAATGGATACGACAAATTTTAAGTCATGTTTACAAAAAAAAAGAGGAAATGTAAAAAACAAAATACTTGTTAGAAGTGTTAATAAAAAATTCTCGCAAAAGTGTAAAATAATTTCTGTAAAATAATCTTTTTCCTTTACGTTTAATCTGACTCTGAAGCACTAACTTTATAAACACTACTTGAAGCAATTCATCAGTTATAATTGAAGTACGAGAATCCAAAATTATTTACTATTCTCCATATTATATTTTGGTTAATAAGTTCTGTTATTAATTTTAAGATAAATAGAATTCCTAGTGAAAACAAAAGTGTATTATAACATGGAAAATTTGGAATGAGATACATTTCTGACCAGACTAACACTATCTTAAAGATAAATGGTTTACAGACATCAGACAAAGTTTCATTATTTCACAAATTTACTGACAAAATACACAAATACTATAAAATACACGTATGTACTCTGCATGTTGCTTCATTTGGGATAGATGATTGTTTTTCATCATCTAAAGAAACGCATGCGCAAGTGGTACCTCAGTTTCAAGGCGCTTTAAGAAACATGGTTCAAATTAGCAGAAAGGGTTTCAAATGTTGCAGTCTTCTTACCAACACCATAGGTCAACCGAAAAAGGACCTTTATCCGCCCGTAGCGCATTAAAGAGTATTAACTCAAGTTCTTTAAAAAGATTGTGTCCAATAGCTTATCCTCTAGCAGGTTGGGCAGCTTCTGCTCCTCTGCTTGCAAGGTTGTTATAACCAGGAATGAAAGCTGCAGCATTCTGGACGTCTTGTTCATTGAGGAATGGCACTTCTGGATCACCCTGTTGGACGTTACCATTTAAGTAGAAGAAATCGGGTGCTCTGTCGCAAGGCACAGCTTCTTCAGGATACGAGCAAGTGAAGGTCAGCTGATTGAAAACTGTTTGATTGCCACAAGCGAAACTCCATTGCCTGTAAAAAAAGTTGACTTTGTTTAACAAGGAGAAGGTAAATGCATAAAGACAGTGTGTCCAACATAAAGTGTGTTTTGGCAATAGGAAGAAGAAAAAACGAAAAATTTATTTTAAAATTCTTGATAAAATGTATGCTTCTGCTTTAGTCATCAGAACTCGTGATGAAATTTTTGTATAATTTACTTTATTTGCTCACCCATTCCGATTTTAATTCAATTTTAAATAATTTATGAATGAATTTTATTTAGGAGATATTTGAAGTATTTATTATTTATTTTTAAGCATCAAAATTCCAACAAAACTTAGAATAACCAAACTTCTTGACCTATTTCGACTGTTCCTAATTTTACAACACGCTTTTAAGGTAGTTTATAACATGACATAGTGATGAGTGCTACTGACTGTGGCGCCGAAGGGCCATGTCTCGAATCCATCTGCGACGCATGGGGGCATTCAAAATGCATGATAAGTCGAAAATCCTCTCGGCTAATCTTTGGAATATTGTCACAGGTAGTTTGGCGACATTTTGGTAAGGCGGTAACGGTTACTAGCTAGGACTTTAGCAGTGTACATGGATAAAGTCAAGAGTGTGCGCAATGCCATTTTTGTGCAATTCTGGGATGTTTTTTTTAAGTGAAAATAGGTCGACGTGTACGTGGATGATACCGTGTATGTGCAATTCTTAAAAACGCGGCAAGCAGTGGGCGATTCTGCACTTTCTCCCAATGTCTCACCTAATCTTCGTCGTCATGATTAAGCACTTTTGTTTCATAAAAGTTCTAGCATAAGCGTAATTCGGCTAGCAGATTGTTGAAAAAAAATATTGAGTGAAAAAAAACCATGCCTTTACTTCGTGAAAACAAAATGCCCCCCCCCCAAAAAAAACTAGCAGGTTGCTGTAGCAGGGTTGATCGCCAAATTTTCGCCAAAAAAAAAACGCCAAGTTACCATAATCCGAAGATTAACCATCCTCTCGAATGGTTTTGATGGCAGGGAAAGAGGGGTGGGAGGCTCTCGAACCCATTATTTCAAAATTGGGGCGAGACAAGTCAAAGTTGTACTCTCACCTATATGGTGGCCTAGGCTCATACCAAAGACAGACGTAAATTGCACTTCCTGGCACGATAAAATTGGTGCGTTTTTGCTGATTAGGTCAGATAAGTGAGATTAGCCATAAGAACATATAAATGAATATTAATTCGGGGATATCAAAATTAACTTCCATAACTTAATTAAATGTTTATTAATGGATTCAAAGAGAAGATAATTTATAGTTTTTTAATGATCATGTGTCAGTATTTGGAAATGATATTAAGATTAGAAATTTGTTTTAGACACCAAGCCAAAGACGTCAAAGATATCATTTACTTGATTCATGGCTATGCATCAAAAATTGCGAATACTAAATTTATGCTGAAAATCAATTTTTTCCTTATTGCTGGATTGTTATCGTAAAGGTATGTTTTATTTTAATATCAAACACTACTAATATATTCTTTAACTTTGATAGTTTTTTTTTTCTTATTCTTCAATTCTTAGATATGTCTTGAATTACATTTCATTATTTAATTCAGAAGGAATTTACTTTTAGCTTAAAGCTGCATTTTAGATACTTTTATCTGAAATTAATGAAGCCTCGTAGTGGGGTAAGTTAAGTTTAGTTCACATTGGAAATCATAATGATTTTATCTCAGCTTAGGGAGTTTCTAAGCAAGTAAGTTTAAAATTCGAAATGTGCAATTTCGAAACAATAAATAAACATCTACTAATTACCATGTGAATCTCCAATATCTCAAAGTAAACTATTTTCAGATGCGAAAAAATTAGGAATGATGTGCTGAAATATCTAATTGCTCATCAAAATGTCTCCCCTTTTTTTTTTACTAATTTTATCGTCCGAAAATGGGGAGGCGAAAATTATGTGAAAATTAGCTTGATTTCCGAATAACCCGGTTACAGTAAGAACAAGCGAAACAGTTACAGTGAGAACATAACAAGCGAAAAGAGACATGAATAAAACAATAGGTAATTATCATATTATTGTATCTTTAAATGTAACCTATAATTCTAATAATGCATAATAATGCTAACATTACTATGCTTTCTAATAAGGTATCTTAATTTCTACTTTCCTGCAACTAATATCTCTTTCCCCCTCTTTTTTTTTTAATGGCGGGCACTAGCCATTTCGGCTTTCGATACTGCTAAGGCTAGAAGTGGTGGTTATTATGAAGGCACCTAATACGCGTCCACCGTTTGAGGACACAGACAGCTTACATCCAAGCCTTCTCCAGGGTTCGAACTCGGGCCCTTCAGTATCGCAGTCGGCACCCCCTAACCACTGTGTCGTCTGGGCGACCCGTTCTTATTGTTGTCTCTGCTACTCCTTAGGCCTAAAATCGGCCGTAAATAAATAGAGAGTTTGAACATGCATCTCAGTTATCAAAATCATAGACCAAATGTCAGTTTGTGTTTGCCTGTGACGGGTCGATTCGTATTAGGCTGGTATAAAATTAAACAGTTATAAGGTATTTCTCCCACCTCCCGAGTATGCCTTCGTAGTGTAGTGGTCAGCACACTCAGCGCGTATTCGAGAAGCCCGTGGTTCGAGTCCCGGCGAAGGCGTTGCTCATTTTTCATATCTCCTTTGTCAGAATAACTTAGTGTCTCTACACAGTTAGAAGAGAAATGTTCGGCGTGACCTTCGCTGCTAGTTTGCGAGTGTTTGCCTTTGTTAGTTAGGCAAAACAATCACAATGTGGACGAATCCATTTTAAAGTTTAGGAGAACTCGTTGTCTGAACGCACTGAGCAAGAGGAAAATAACGTGAATAATTTTAAAGTTTTCAGAATCTGGCTCTCAAAAGCTAGGACAGAAATACGGGGAGGGGAATACGGCATAACAATTAATTTAAGCATTTTCTTTGCTCTAAATGTAGAGAATGATTTTTGTAAAAGAATTATTATATTTCAAAAAGCAAATGTCCCGATGAACATTTTTACGTGTTTTCTATTTGTTTCCTTTTAAATTAAAAAAATTTTCTTGATTCTAAAGATTCGTAAAATAAATACAGGGTGATTATAATTAAAGTTTAAGTTTCAAAACGCTATAAAAAAAGAACCACTCATGAAAATGACGTCAAATTTGAAAGGAATGTTATTGAAGAAGGCGGAAAGCGTATGGCAGAAGAAAAAATTTAGTTTCAAAAGTTAGCAACAGATGGCGCTGCAAGCAGAAGAAGACAAATTAAAATGTTAGTTAAATTTCAGTCTTATAAAGCCGCCAGGTACCAGGCTGTTCCTCATTTCGCGTCTCAGACGTTCGCCATAAGTGTTTCATTGCAGAAGCGCGCTCTGCTGGTAAAACTGTATTACAAGAATGACGATTGTGCAAGAGTAGCTCTGCAAAAATTCAGGATACTGAAGGGTATAAAAGAAGGCGTTGGTCCAATGAGTGTCGTATGTCTAAAGAAAATGATGCAAAAATTCGAAAACGACAGGTTCGTTTGAAGTGCAATCTGGTAGAGGGAGAAAACGAGTGCATTCGACGGTAGTTGAAGAAGTGGCCACAGCATTACAGGAGGGGTCGGCCGGTGGTGTGCAACCGTGCAGTGCACGAGGAATTGCCCGAACATTAGGACAGGCCTACGAGCACGGTGCTGAAAAACTGTACGAAACATCCTGCAATGCTATCCGTACAAAATTGGCCATGTGCAAGAGTTTGCTTCCGTCTGACTTGACAGCTAGGGAGACGTTTGCGTTAGAATTCCTGGCTCGCATGGAAGTGGATAATGAATGGCCGTGGAAAATTTTGTGGACAGATGAAGCCCATTTCCATCTGACAGGATACGTGAATACCCAGAATTGTCGAATATGGGCAACAGAAAATCCACTGGCAACGCACCCCGTACCACTTCATCCTAAAAAGGTCACGGTATGGTGTGGCTTTACGGCATCATTCATCCTACAACCATATTTTTTCGAGCAGACGGGTGCTTCCGGTCCTGTTACCGCAACCGTCACTGGTCAGAGGTATGCGTCTCATTTGCGCAACCACGTGATTCCAGCTCTGCAACAGCGTGGATGTGTGGATGAAATCATTTTTAAGCAAGATGCGCTCCTCCGCACATTGCACATCCCGTGAAGCAGCTGCAGAGGCGCCATTTTGGAAATGCTCGATTATCAGCCGTCATTTCCCTACAGACTGGCCATCCCGATCGCCTGATCTTACTCCGTGTGATTTCTGGCTGTGGGGATATCTGAAGGATGTTGTGTTCCATGCTCCAATTGAAAATTTAGCGGAATTAAAGGCACGCATTTCGCAACGCATTCTGAACATCACCCCGGAGACACTGCGATTCGTTGTGGAACATGTTGTTTGTCGCTTTCAACTTGTTGCACACAACGGTGGACACCATAATGAACATGTTTTGCGCCAGTTCCGAACTTCTTTGATGAATGGTTCTTATGCGGTATGTCGCCGCAAAACTCTTGAAACCGATTTGTCCCTTTCGATATGATATGTACAGTCATGCAAATAAATTATTCAACAATTCTAATTTGTCAATGCGTTTTAATGTGTAACTTCCACCTTAGCCGTTGTTTTACGAATCATTTCTCGTCGTGATTCTGCCGCTTACAGCGCCATATGTTGCTAACTTTTGAAACTAAATTTTTTCTTCTGCCATACGCTTTCCGCTTTCTTCAATAACATTCCTTTCAAAATTTCACATCATTTTCATCAGTGGTTCTTTTTTTATAGCGTTTTGAAACTTAAACTTTAATTATAATCACCCTGTACATTAAATAGAAATGTAATTTATTAAGTTGTTTGAGTAACGAAACCCATTTAAATGAGGTTAGATTCTACAATACTTTGGTAAAATCCCTTTTATAAATAAACAAAGGAAAATCATCTTGAAAATGAAAAAAAAAAAAAAAAAAAAAAAAAAAATCTCCTTAAAGTGCTATTTTTTGTAAGAACTAGTCATTTATCTAAATGGATCGATACGTAATGTATGTTAAAAATAATGTTATACCTCTGAATTTGGGGATTTTATTCACGTAATCCGATTTAATAAGGAAAGGTTAACTTTATAAATCTTAGCATCAAAACGGAAAAACTTATTAAAACAAAAAATCACTTCCCATAAATTGTGTTTTCGTAGTAAAAATAATGTCGGTGGGTAACAGCAAAATGCGTATTCATTGTAATTTTATAGCCCTGAAACTCAAGAATTTACTCACGTAATTCAATTTTATGCCTCTGAAGAAAAGGTTAAATCTCTAACGACAAAAGAAAGATCTTTAGCAAGAAAATAAAAGACGTCCTTAAAGTAAAAAATTGCTTTAAATAAAAAAGCTATTGGTAGCAGCAGGAAGTTAGCATAATATATTTTCAATGTAATTTTGAAATCCTAAACTTCAAAATACTTCTAACATCCTTCAGTTTCATACATTATTATGCTTTTAATAGAAAATAAAGGTTAAACCCAATAAACAAACCCAATGTCAGATATCTGAATTTTAAAAAAATGTCATAAACTTTTACCTATCCATTTTAATAAATAATGTTAAAGGCATATTCTGTTGAAATAGATATTTATTCTTTGCTCCGAAGTTTTAATCCTTAAAAAGTATCTGATATGGACACCATATGACTTTCTTGTACGGCTTATTAAATTATGCACATTTTTGATGCAGTTCATTTATTTCCTCGAACTTCATTCAAGGCAAGCTTTTACAAAAACTCAAAACTTCTACATGAAAAATTGTAAAATGTAGAAAAACTTAAAACACCAAATATAGTTAAAAACAGTTTAAAAAACAATTTTTGCAATTAAAATTAAAGTTTCTATGCTATTCGGCTAACGGGCAGGAAGACCCAAATTTTAGTGCGCAAAATTGAAAGTTGCCTATTCGTCCCCACTTGGCAAAAAAGACACGAAGTGACTTAAATCATTATTCTTCTAGGAGGTTCAAATGTAAAGAAATGGCGGCTTTTTTAGGCTTAGTACCATGTAAACAACTTTTGAACTGTTGATAATTGTACGACTATTGCATGCAGATTAACTAAACGCATAGAAACCTTAACCGAAACATAAGAACAACTTAATTCAATAATTTTTAAAGCAAAAAACGCACAATTTACCAACATATAAGAATAAAAGGAATTGAGCTCATTGAGCTAAGTAACAGATTGGGTATATGTACAGTGGCTCCCAAAAGTGTTCGTACACTTATGATTTTCATTGAAATAGGGCTCTATCCATTAATTAAAAGTAAACTTTCTGAATGAGATTTTAATAATAATATCTATAATCTATTTGTAACAATTTATTTGTAATACTTTTAAAATATAGCGAAACTTTATTTTTAAGAAATTAATAATCAAAAAAATGGGGCAAACATTTTATCTCACAGAAGTCTTCGTACACTTCAAAAATATCTTAACATATTAGTAAATATTTTCATTTTTCTTTAAATTAATATTTAGTAGGATAACTATTAGCATCCACAACAGCCTTTAAACGTCTGGGAATAGATTTTAATAGTTTTTTTTTTTTTTTTTTTTTTTTTTTTTTTTTGTAATTTCTGTATCAATGTTCATTCATTCTTCCCTCATGACTGTTATGAGTTCGCTTTTCGTTTTTGGTGTCATATTTTCGTACTCAAACCTCCAGTTCTTTCCAAATGTGTTCTATGGGGTTTAAATGTGGCGACTGAGATGGTGTTTTCAAAACCTGTGGACAATTATAGAGACACCACAGGCGAATGTTGAGGGCCGTATCCTTAGGATTGTTATCATGATAAAAAATAAAATTGTTTCCAATACCCAAATTTTGGGGTGATAATTTTAAATTATCTCTTAAAATATTTAAATGAAGAGAATGATTCATTATGCCATTAATAAATACCAAATTACCTAGTCCTGACGCTGCCAAGCACCCCCCCCCCCACAAAAACACCTCCACCGCCGTGCATGCTTAACTGTTCCGACTAAGTTCATAGAATGAAGTTCCTAATTTTTTTCTTCTTCACGCAGTTATTCGACCATCGGAACCCAAAATGTTAAATTTGCTTTCGTCAGTAAATAGGACATTATTTCAGTACGTTTCGGTGTATTTATCATTGATTTTGCGAATGAAAGCCTAAGCTTTCTGTTTTTCTCACTAACAAAAAATTTTTTACGGGCAGAACGCTCATGTAATCCAGCTTCTCTGAGAATTCGTCGAACAGTTTCAGGTGAAATTGAAGTAGAAAACTTTGCATTAAATTCTGCAGAAACTTTTACAGCACTCAAACGTGGGTTTTTCACAAATTTTCTAATAATAAATCTTTCATCACGTTTAGTTAACTTTTTCGGTCGACCTTTTCTTACTTTGTTTTCAATCCGATTTTCTTCTTTAAAGCGTTTTATCACATACTGTACTGTAGAATGGGATAAATTAACTAATTTAGCGATATTTCGAATTGATTTACTACTACTATTGGGAAAAATTATCAATTTCCGAATGCTGTCTGTAATTTCTTTGTGACTGCGACCCATTTTTCAATAATAAATAGAATATTATGAGTAAACAATAAAAAATTAAAACAAACGATTTTTTAAATAATGCAAAAATTTAAAAAAGCGGCAAACGATAATTCTAATTTTGATTTTATCCAAAAATACTTCAATATTTTTTCTTCTTCATACAGTTATTCATACAGTAAATAGCATTTTATCATACAGTACAGTAAATAGCATTTTATACAGTAAATAGCATACAGTAAATTCATACAGTAAATAGCATATTCATACAGTAAATAGCATTTTATACAATAAATAGCATTATTAAAAACATTTTATCTCACAAAAGGCTTTCAAAAAATGACAAACATTTTATCTCACAAAAGTCTTTGTGAGATAAAATGTTTGTCATTTTTTTATTATTAATTTCTTAAAATAAAGTTTTGCTATATTTAAAAATTATTTCATGTAATTTTGTTACGAATAAATTATAGATCTTATTATTAAAATCTCATTCAGGAAGTTTAGTTTTAATTAATGTATAGACCTCTATTTCAATGAAAATCCTAAGTGTACGAACACTTTTGGGAGACACTGTATATATTTTTGATGCTGCTGATTGCAACCAAAAAGGGAAATTCACAACTACACGTTATAGCAGTCCTATATACAAAATTTTAACGTTCTGAGGCTACTCGTTTTTGAATTATGCCAGAGGCATACGTACATATATACGCCACGAAAATATCTCTTCTGAATTCATTTTAAACCAGTTTTATATTTCGTTTTGGGAAAGAGTCCTTTATTCTGTCCTTACGTACAAACGACACCCAAGAACATGATTAAATTACATTAGATGGCGGTCAAAATGGATATTTTCCTTGATATATGGTCCCCGGAAATTTTCGTGATTACAATACTTTACTTTGTACAAGGAACTAAAAATGAGTGCAAGTGCATATAGTGCTATATAGAGGTATTTATGGTATAAACATCAGATATAATTCTACAACTATTACTTGCAGGTCCTATATACAAAATTTCAACATTCTGAGTCCACTCGTTACAGAGACACATATCACGAATAAATTTCTTCTGAATCCGTTTTAAATCCTTTTTTGTAATACGTTTTGGGAAAAAGAACCCTCTATTATGTCCTTACGTACAGATGTTAGTGGACATTTTCGTTGAAATATAACAGCCAAAAATTTTCCCGATTACAATATTTCCTTTAATTCGTAGGAAGTAAGAAGGTCTTATTATTCGTAGGAAGAAGGAAGTAAAAAGGTCTGTTGTCAATTTTAGCTGAATATCTTTATCAAACTTTATAAACCAGATGAGCTCTAACAAATATATTGTGAGAATTTTCAGTGAAAGCTTTTAAGTTCAGCGGATTTAGAATTCGCAGCCTATCACGTTAGTAAGTTTAAAAGTTCGTGGAAGTATTTGACATAAATACCTTGGAGATCCTTCCTCGAATCCGTGGCATACGTGGAAGATCTGACAATTGTTGTCTACGTCAGCATAATATCCATCCCCTTGACAAGAGAAGGTGGAGCGAATATCTTGCAGCAATAGGTTGATGCCGTCAGGAAGATCATAGGCAGCTCGTTTATTCTAGAATAAAAAAAAGTAATCATTTCATACCATGATCGGCTAGCATCAGGGAAGCTGCTCTTGAAGTTTCATCACATACACATATAGAAAATAAAACTTATCATAACACACTTTTGAAACGGTATTTAACAAACCACATTAAAAAGGAAATATATACGTATTTAAATAGCTATTAGAATACATTTTTTAAAATTATTTTAAATAAATTATTTAAAATTTACAAAGAAAGTAATTTAATAACATTTTACCTTGTTGCATTCCACTGAATATGACAAAAGACACAAAGCTTACCATTATAAGGAGGGGATTTCATTTCGTGATGGGTATTCAAAGGCAAAATGGCTCAAAGGGAAAATGAATTTTTGAATTTAAATGTGTGCTATCATATCGCAATTAATATGATTACCGTTTTGGTACTATTCCGTTTTGAGGACCGTAAAAAAGTTGCAGCGAAAAATGTATGCGCAAAAGCGCCAAATCTAGCAAACGCGCCCATTTTAAACAGCGCGCCAAACCTAGCGTACGCACTGATTTCAGATTGCGTAAGTTTATATAAGTTTTTACAGTTCTATAATTCTTAAGACGCCATTGAAATACTAGTTTAATTTTTAAATCCTTTTTTGGTATCCTATGGATTTAACAATTTGGAAATTGCCCATGAAGAAAAGTCTGCAAAAGAATTTTGGATAAAGTGCAGAATCACCCACTGCTTGACATATTTTTAAGTATTGCACATACTCGGTATCCATGTACACATCGACCTATTTTCACTTCAAAAAAGATCCCAGAATTGCACGAAAATGGCACTGCGCTCACCCTTGACTTTATCTATGTACACATCGACCTATTTTCACTTAAAAAGGAAAGGAAAATTGACAAAAATCCAATTGTTTTGACCCTTGTAAAAAGCCGCAAACAAATAAGTGGACGATTCTGCACTTTACTGAGAATTTTTTCATAGAAAAGGCATCATTCATTATAGAAAATTATGTTTGAACAACCAACGAGATGAAACTATGCTTTAGCGATAACTCGGTAGCGAAATAGCGATGCAGGCATCCATTCAGTTATGTTTAGCAATTTTTAAATAAATTATAATAATGATCTGAAATAATTATTTACTGTTATGCTTCCATTCAGTCATGTTTAGCCTTCTTTATATAAATTATAATAATAGAAAAGTATCATATGAAATTAACTTTTCATCTAAATTAAAACATTAATCTTAGTTAATTCCTATTAGACTTTCTTGCGTTAGGTTTGCCGCAGTTATTTTTGGCAGCGCTGGCATCAACAATAGTTTGGCGATTTTTTACGGCCGTCAAAACTGAATAGTACCTATGTTTTTTTTTCCAAATTTCAAAGAATTAAACACATAAAATACAGAACAAATATAAAAAAAAAAAAAAAAAATCTGAAATGTTTCAGATTTTAAATTACGTCTAAAGGGGCGTTTTTTAACATTTTGTGTGTTACCTTTCTTTATTAAATATCATGTTCCTCGCACTTAAACCATAAGATCCAGTGCAACAGCAATATCGCAAAATAGTTTTAAAACGAGCATATCTTTAGAATTTCCGATACAGAGACTCACGCGCTGGAGATAAAAAATGTTTTTTCTGCACAACGTTGCCATTGCTCGCTTTTGAAATCCTTGAGTTTTGTAATCAAAATTCGTCAAAGTTTTAAAAAATAGGAAATCGATCATAAAACAAATTTCAAATTTCAAATTTGGTCTTCCACATGCTCATATTCGTTGGAGGATTACGTTATTCAAAATTCGATGACTCTATGTACCGTTGTTTTATCACAATACGAGAAATATACATACATTTATGCAGATTTTTCATTATTTAATTTCTTCAAATATAATGCAGGACTCTAACATTTTGTGGCAACAGTTTGAAAAGTGAACCGACATTTATGAGTCCGACGCAAAATGCCAAAACGAAACTAATAGTCCTTCGGGATTCAAATCCCTTTGGACTAATAACAGATTTTTTTTTTTTTTATTTTAACTGTAGAATGACTGCTTCTATTTCATTTGAGATAATTCATTCCAACAAATTACATAAAATCTAACATCAGTATAATTTCAGTTTCAGCCAGTTTTATAATTATTTCCTTTTGTTCATTACAAAGTATTTCAGGAACGCATATGAATATGAAAACGTTAAATTGATAATAAAGTATTCAACTAAAAGTAAAATTAATTCAAATCTTTAAATACAATAGTTTTATTTACTATTTTAGAATGAGACATTATAAAATGTATTTTAAAATTCTTTGAACACGTAATGATGACATATTAATTTATGTGTAATTTAAATGTACTTACTCTTCTTGGTAAAGCCGAACTGAAGACTAGAGAACCTAAGAGCACTAATAAGAGAATAATATATTACAAAAGTAGCCACATTTTTTGTAACAATAATAGATAATGTATAGATCTATTATTAAAAAATAACATAACATAAAAGTTAGCAATTTAGAAAATTGTTTCAGCAAATTTTAGTTCATATTTAGGTAATGTTTATTTAACAGAATCTCGCATATCTAGAATTCCTAAGTGAAAATTTGTTATGAAATTTGTGTACAATAGTCTTTACATATCATAAATGAAAGAGACTGTCTGTGTGTCTTTCGTTCGCGCTGCGCGTAAGCTAATAGACCCACGGCTACGAAATTTGGTACATAGGTGTATCTAGACAAAAGCCAGTGCACCTCGAAGCGATTTTTTCGAAATTCGAATTATTTTTATTTTATGTTTTGTGACGAAATCGCGTCATTTTGAGACATAATGGGCTATAGGAAAGCGAGATTTTACTCTACACACTCCATTTTCACATCGTCATGAAACGTAGGCACTTAGCTATTTTACGAACTTAAAATAAATTTCGTGTTTCAATAAATCGATTCAATACGAATTTATTTAACAAAGGGAGCTTAACACCTTTTCAACGGGATTTTTTTCTAAAAAAAAATTATTTTCAAAATGTACAGTTTATTTTTCTTTGATTTTTGGAAAACTTTCATCCTTGCGACTGCTTTTGCAAAAAGAATTTTGGGAAAATGATAATATTTTGTATTTTTAAAAGATTTTTTAAATGAAGCTTCCGAGTACACTTCTCACATCTCACATCTTTAAAAATCTGATTTTGGCAACAATTTTCCTTTCTTATTTTTGATAGATTTTTGATGAAATCGCATCATTTTGAATAGTTTCATTCTTTTAGAAATATGGGTTTGGCAACAATTTTTCATCGTATTTCTTATGTCACTGTTTTTAAGAGATTGGCATATTTCATTGTCATTTTTATATATATATATAATACATTTTTATTGATTTTTTTGATAAAGTTGTTCTGCAAAGTAAAATTCTGCGCGGAATTTTTGTTTTTTGAGTTTCTTTCATGTTATTTTTTGCTTATTTCACTATTTGTAAGATATTGAAAAGTTTTGCATGATTTTTTTCTTCAACGGAAAGTTGGTTAATTTTTATTAGGATAATTAATATTTGTATTAATGGATATAGCTTATTTCATTGTAATTTTTTCTCTTGAAAATATAAGATTACCATTAATTATAATTAATACAAAGTATAATTAATTATCATTAATTATACTTTGCTTTTCAGAATTTTTTGTTTTTTATATTCTTTTATGTTATTTATTGCTCATTTCACTGTCTTTAAGATATTGAAAAGTTTTGAGTGATTTTTTTTAGGAAACAAAGTTTTTAACCTTTTTTATACCATTTCAGTTCTTAAGATTTTGCAAAGGGAAGTTAGTTAATTTATTTATTAGGATAATTAATATTTGTATTAAGGAATATTGCTTATTTCATTGTAATTTTATTATACGTAATGACTTTTTTTTAATGAAACTGTTCTGCAGAGTAAAATTCTAAGCAGTTTTTGAATTTAAAGTTTGGTGTTTCCTTTAGCCATTTTTCCGGTACATTTAAAAGCCAGACGAAGGCTCGCAGCGAAGCTGCTAGTTTAAAATATTTCTTTCAAACAAATTACATTCAGACGTTTCATACTGTCGTAAGGAGAATTTTACTAAATACTGTTGGAAAACAGTATAAATATGAAACTGAACACGGAAAAAAACCTACTAATTTTGTCAAGTATTACAAAAATGTAATTTTATCAGAATTAATTCATTATATTACTTATAATTAATCAGTAACATCATTCTAAAACGTACAATATTAATTTAATTCAAAACTATTTAGTTAATATTAATAACGAACTCTCATCGTTTCAAATATTGTGATCCACAAACACTTACATGCACATGAATAAAACTGCTCATAAATCCATAGTATATTTATAAGTAACCGTTAGGGGCCATTATTAGCAAAATTATTGGCATTCGTTACATATACAAACATTTCTAATTACTTAAGTACAATATTTCGTAAAATTACTACTCTTACCAGTGCGACAAAGAGCTGAAGATGAAATTTTAAAAAAATCTAGATAGTTTAATGTCTAATCCAATTACGTGTGATAGATTAATATCAAAATCACGTATTAATTCCTCTTTAATAATATTTTCTTAATACATTTTCCTCTTTAAAAATATGTATAATTCTATTCTTTAATAATAATTTCATTCCTCTTTAAAAATATTTATATATATAATTAAATGCACAAGCAAATGCAATGGAATTTTTGCGAAATTTGTCTAAAATCACACCTTGACAGACAAACAAACCACCTTGACCAATCACACCTTGACATTACAAACTGTTAATTATCTGTATTGAATTAAATGAGACTGTTTATTTTATTTATTATCAAATACAAAATACAGCTTTATTATTTAATTGTGCTTATTTATTCAAATAAATTAAACAACCACATTTAAACTTCAAATAAAACTAAAAGTAACGCCATTTCCTTAACTCTTAAGTAAACATGCATTTATTTATTCAAAACATGCATTTAATTTTATATAAAATGAATAACATTCATTAGGGAAACTAAAACTTACTTACCTGAACATATAATAATGAAATTCATGGCTTATCAACACGGCCTGTTAACTGTAAATAGAAAGAAAAAGTCTTTATTTAAGTAATATTACTACAAGTAATTTCAAATTTCATGTTATCCACAATTCCTTTGCTTTGAAATTTTCTTTTTTAATCTATAATGTATTCATGAGTAATTACTCTGCACACTAGTTATTTATCTTAAAATAACTAGTGCTATTTGTATATATGTTACGGTGAAACACCGAAATCTGGAGAATGTCGACTTTCACCGGTGAATGTCAACATTCACATAGTCGCTTGGTGTATGTCCGAAATATTTTCCAAATACTCTTATTTCTGACTTACAACGGTGAATGTCGACCTTTACCATGTACTAATGGTGAATGTTGAACATATAAGAATATTATATTTCCTTCTCCGTAATTCATTCGCAAAAAAACGCACTTGAGACACGGAATAAGAACTTAAGAATATAAGAACATAAAACACACATTACATTCAAAATGAGAAAGGAAAATAGTAGAAGTTATAAACTTACCAAATTATGTGATTCAAATCTTATTTATTGCAACAACTAAAACTGTTATGACACTTTGAATTGCACAAGAGGCACTTGCTTTTACAACTGCATTTATTTGTGGAACACTTCCTTTTGCAATGGCAGCGTGTACATATACTCCTCTCTTTTCGACCTACACAGAGCATATCTGTGACAGTCGACATACACCGGTGAGGGTCCGAATGTACAAGAATGTAAAAAAATATTCGATCTTTCACCGACATATTTGGTGAATGTTGATATTCTCCGGTGAAAGTCGACATTCTCCAATTTCGGTTTTTCACGGTAACATATATATCTTAAAATTATCAATATTATCACCTTTTATTCAGTTTAAAAAAAAATGAGCAGAAAATTTATTTCGTATAAATTAGTAAGCCACATTTACGTATTATGGTTCTCGTCCTATTTACATAACAAAATCCAACCAATTCTTAGTTCACTCAATTTACCCGCGAACATAATATCAATTCACTTCTGTTTTGAAGGAAAACTTAAAATCAAACTCAGAAAATGAGCTGCGAAATTGCCTCATATTTCAGCTGAGAAGCTCTTAATGGCCTACTAATGTTTGTAGGGTTCCTATTTAACTCATTTTTCATTAATATAATAATATTTCTCTTCTTGAAATACTATTTATAAACTATAAAATATTTAAAAAAATATTATTAATAATAAATAATCCAAATAAAATGAGAATGTTTTTTTAAGTAAATAATTTTGAAACAATAAAAAATGTTGAGAATTTCAGAATTTTAAAGTAAGATAAAAAGATACTAAAGACTAAAATTTTAAAATTTCAACTGACAATTTGATTTAAATTTTTAAATTTTAAGTGGCAATCTTTTTAATACCACGAAAAAACCTTCAGATGGCCCTTAAGTAATAGTAATGAAAATTTAATTTTTTTAAGTATAATAGGTAGATATTAACCTAAATCTCAAATAACTTTGAAACTTTTTTACGCTGCTCTATAGAATATATTAAATGGTTTTAATTTTGTAAAATATCTATAATTTTAAATAGACACATTTTCGAATTACTAATATGGATTCGATAGTTTGGTCAATTCATTTTTCTTGATTCTGAGTAAATTTATTATTGATTGCACATTTACATAATTTTTAAATGTTACGAGCACGGTGTTTCTTTCTAACAATAAAATACGCTTCTTTCAGTTTACTGTAAAACTGTGATTCACATCACTAATTAATTAGAAAACAGTATGTAAGATCTATCATAAAGTACTTTTTCTGTCCCTTATTCCGCATAATTCCAGAGCTACGACTATAGAGTAAATGGAATTTTCTTTAATCCTGAAAGAAACTTCATTTTTCTAAAAGCAACAAATAATTAAATTCATGTTTTTATATTATAATTATTTTGGCTTTTGTTAAGAAAATTATCAACTATTTTTAAATAAAAATGTCACATTTATAAACTTTTTTAGAACTTCTTTTTAATAGGCACAATTATAGGACAATTATATACATTTTTTTTAAATTACACCCACATAATAATTCAAATGAAATCACTCATTATTTTTCACACAATAAAATTAAACTATTTAGTAAATTATGCAAATTATTTCAAAGTATGAGAAATTTTTAATTAGCCTTTGTTATGTTAATTTCGATCTATACATAAATTTTATTCTCACTTACATGGCTGCAAAACGATTTTGAGATGATGACGAATTTAAATTACTTTTATCATCAAGAGTTTACTACTCATTTGAAAGTTACTTGAACTCAAAAATAGCTTTGTAAGTTAACGTAGAATTCCACAGCACTTGTCTTAAAACACAAAGAAATCGAGGCAATATTACCTACGAAAACAAGCAAATCCTTCGCGCAATTAACTTTGAAGAGGATGTATGCTATAAATCCTAAGTTATACAACCGTTTTATTTGTCTTCGTAGGAGGAAATGCTTTTACAAAGGGCAACACGCACTCAAAAATCTCCTTACTGACTTAAGAAACAAAGCATAGCTGCGGGACTACAAAACCCGCTGTCACGAAGGCCCACTTACCTCAAAGAGAAGAGAGAACAAATAACCAAATATATGCAGGATTTTCTTCTTTCTGACATTTCCTTAAACTTCGCTTTTTATATAGACACATTCTCACCGAAAATAGGAATCCATTTCTGCTGAGGATACTTTACAGCCAATCAAAATACAAGAATCGAGTCCCTCCCTCCCCAAAAGTTGAGAAATGAATAAAAATGTAGCGCGAGAAAAAAACTGTGTCGAACAATAAGTGCTTGCTAAAAAAATAACCTTATCCATGTTTTTTTCTCCCCTCAAAACTTCGACCCCCTTCTATTGAAATCCCTTTTCCCACTTCTTGACCTTTTAATAGAAGCTGTGCCCCTTTCAGCGAGATTGAAAGCAAGGGGGAGGTAAGCATGACTCAGTGTGAGCTAAGTATCCGATGATGTCAGCTGATGATTTGCAATTATGCTTTTGTCAAAGGGTTAATGTGTTGACATTTAAATGATAGGCACCCGTTTCTAAAGTGTTTTACCGAAACGATTACATAAATTCCTCCCCTATCGATGCAATCCGTTGCTTTTCAATCATTATTGTAATTAAACTATTTAATGGGAGAACATTAGTTTGCTTGCGTCAAGGTCCTAGTTTCTCGTTTTTTGCCACGATCTTTCATTTGGATGCATTTCGGCTGTTGGTCAAATGGTTTGCAAAAACACGCAATTAGAGCCAAGAAACAGCATTGGAATGTAGTCAATAGCAGGATGCTTGCAGCTGGTAAAGGATTTTGCGAAGCGAAATTGATGATCCAGTCGCTGATGCGTCATTAATATAATGGATCCATCAGTCATGTTTGCACAATGTTGCAAATATGTGATACACTATCATAATTTCCATCTGCCTGTATAGTCTATTTTGTATTTCTTGAGCATCGTTTATGTACTTTTTAATTAAGTAATGGAAATTTTACGAGAAAAAGAGGATTCACGGGAAAGAATTGCAATGCCCAGTATTTCAATACTTTTTTTTCTTTTTTTTTCTAATTAACGTCACTTGGAGGATTTTGAAAAGCGATTCGCAATTCAGAATAATGATACTTAACTATCAGTAGAAGTAAAGACCAACATCTTGCGAAATTTTAGCATGAGTTTTTTTAATTAACAGCAATGAATACAGTGGAAAATGAGGCATGTATAAAAACATGAACAAGTTAAATGAAATATATTTACTATAATGTATTACTAAATGAAATATTGTTTTTTAATAAGCTTTATCACATTCCGCATTATTTTCTATTTATTTGTATTTGCTTTTTTTTTAACCTGTTAGAGAATAAATCAACTCGAAGATTTAAATTTTTTAAAACGGTGATTTTACTTATTTAAAAAATAATTCACTGCATTTGATAAGAATACTGATGTAGGCTGTATACCTATCAAGCATGGCACTCTCTTTTGTTCGTCCCTTTGTTAAAATTATTTTGCATAAAGCATAATATCATTTATACCTTTATCCACCTTTAACGCCTTTTTATAAGCTTCTTAACTCTGTAACTCACGTACTAGGCTTAGTAGCTGTTGCAGATCATCACCTGCGGAGATTAACTAACGAAAGATGAACGTAAAAATACAATATCAAACTAAAATATTTATTAAATCGAAATCGTTTATGCATACAGGCCAGGTCAGATTGCAGTTATCCACATACATGTAGCCAGATATCAGCTTTAACCACATATATGTAATCAGATATGCGCAGCTAGTCTATGGCTTCTGGCTAACTGTTTCGTTGTTAACTGTCTGGCTGCGAAAGACTTTCAATATGTGTACCTTGGCCAAGTGGATAAGTGGCGCAGTGGTCCATGCATCGATGGCCATGCATCCATACCGATGCATGGGTCCATGCGTCCATGCACCGGTAGCATCGGTGGCCGAGTGGCTAAGATCTTTAAATATTTGTGACTCGATACAATGTTCAGAGATATTACACATTCGACCAGATCATACTCTTATCCACATATCACGTACCCGGGATTCGAATTCAAGCTAACTGCCTGATTTTATGAGGAGTTTTCCCAGATTGTAATGTGAATTTGAGCGAGTTTTCACTAGAATGTCGTCTACGAATGATGCTGCGATCGATTAACTAAATAGAACAATGAAATATTAGAAATGAATTTAAGGGGACTCATACACCTTAAACCAGCAAGACCTTCGAATATGTGACTTTTGCAAGAATAGGGATAACTTATTTGTTTTAAAAGCAATTACTTCCAACTTTTTACAGCTGACTACATAATATAGCTGTTTTCTGAAATAGTAATCAGAAAGTTTGTGTTGTCACAATTATTTTTAATAATTAATCCACTTTGTGACAAAATTTTCGTCATGTTCCACCTTGCGCGCACAGTTGAAACATTCTGTCGCATAATTTAATTCCATATTTAGTATTAACTTTTATAACATTTGGAAACTACTGTGAACCTAAAATTCTAAAAATTCCATGTTAAATTTTTATTTTATTTCGAGTTGAGTTTATAAAATGTATTTTATTAAAAAAATCTGTAATGTTTTCGTCCATAAAATTTTTCAATATTAAAATATTCATCAGATTTTTGGTTCAGTTAGAAAATAGTGCCCATATAAAGAATTCCATCCAATTTCAAGGATGAACCATTAGCCATTTTTAAAATATCATGCGCGCAAGGTGGAAACATGGCGAAACATTTTGTCACAAAGAGGATTTTAAATTACAAAATATTTGTTGGCAACACAAACTTTCTGGTTACTAGTTTCAAAAGCAGCTATATGACGTAGTCAGCTGTAAAAGGTTGGAAGTAATTGCTTTTAAAATAAAGGAAATATCCCAATTCTTGCAACAGTCGCATATTCGAAGATCATAAGGAGTTTAAGGTGTATGAGCCCCCTTAAGTTAACGCGTTTTAATTGGGGAGTGGGGTCAAAGCGACGGATAATGAAACTCAATGTTTTTGCTATCCCTGTTATTGAAATTTATTAAATTAAAGAAAGCTCTCGCAGCAGGAACGATGTCAGATTTTTTGGTTGCCTAGTTTAATAAAACTATTGATGGGCGAGTTCAGGTGCCAGACATCACAGAGACTTTACGTAGTGTTCAAACAAATACTCATCTACTGTGTCTTCTTACAGGCTTTGCGTTTCAGTCATTGTTCCTTACATCTGTATACTTCTGGACAGAATCAAAATTAGAAAGGAGATGGAAAATTTAGCAAAAGCAAAACCAGAATTAATTAAATAATCCAAAACTTTATAGGCAAACCTATTTTTTACTTCTAAAACTTTAGTAAGACGATGAGTATATATGCAAAGTTCAAATCAAGAATATGTCCTTATAATTTCATGACTTAACGACAGTTGTGCTGAAAGTCGGGAATGTCATATTATCTCATTAGAACTTAGAATTCGAAAGATTTCTTCAGATGTAAGTGGAACATAGAAATCAGTTGCTATTATTATCATTATTATTAGGTACATTATTATTAGGTATCATTATTATTAGGTACATTCATGTAAAAGATTAAGACTTACATGAAATCTATTAATTATCAACAATAACCAAATAATTTTATAGCTACTAAAACGATGGTTTTCAACCTATTCTGCCCCATGTACTCCTTTCACAACATCTAGAAGATCATTACTTAAATTAAAGAAAGGAGGGTTCGTAAACTTTAAAAATACATACATAGATTGCTTAGATTTATTTCCTGAGGTGCTTTATAAATTAAACAACGAAAAATACAGAAAATATTGATAAGTATTTTTTATATTCATAAATTGAAACTAAATACTTTTAGCAGCTAAAGAAAAAGCTGATATCATTCCATCTCTGAAAGCATGAACTTTCCCTTGGTCGAGAATCCAAAACTTTGTTTCTGTTTATGTTGTGGAACTTTTTACTAAGTCATAGAATTATTTACTTTTACCTCTTTACAATGCCAGTTTCATTTGGCAGTTTCTTACGATTAGGTTACATTGCTATAAAGCATACCTGTAATCATGAAAGATGTAGAATCATGGAGAATCATGAAATTCTACCGAAACCCATGAAAGTAAGTGTTTAAATAGGTTATGCCAAACATAAGTAGCATGCGAAAAAGAAAACTGTATATTGGGTGGGCCTCGAGTAAATATACCAAACACTCATTAATATTTCATTCCTAAACGTGCTCTGAAAGAATAAAAATTGACAAAAGATGGGTTTTAAAGAAAAATGAAGCACCCAAGAACGCAAATAAATGAGGTAAATGTTAAAGATTCTCCAACCTATGACCTTTAAAGCCTAAAAGCCTATACAACGTCAAAATACTTCTAAAAGACGCAGTTCCTCTTTGTTGTATTTGATTTATTTAAATCAAGGGACTGTATAAGAATACGTAAATTGTACCTTAATAATGTATGCTGATCTTAAGATTCTGAAAGATTTAATGCCCATCCTTATATCGTAATCTTTTATATTCATAAAGCATTTAGGAGAAAAATAGCTAATGGTATAAGTAAGAATAGAAAGAATACTTTCTCTGTTTAGCATTACTATGGAACGGATTTCTTTGACACATTCTAACATTAAAGAAACATTGTGTAAAGAAATGTTTTCTGTCATTTAATTGGGTGAGGATTGATTTAGGTTTCTTTAAACCTCTATCAAAAATTATACTTATTATAAGTTTAATAAGACATTGAAAACTTTTAAATGGAATAAAATTTCATGGTTTTGTATTTGCGTTTGAAATTAAGCGAAGATCTCCCATTTGCAAAATCC